AGCCGGGCCGCCCGGGTCCCGGGTGGCCAGCCCGTGTAATGACAAGGGAAGGTCACAACAAAAAAAAAATAATCAAAAAAATTCCAAACAAAAACTATGTTATGCAAAAAAATAAAGTGAACAACGTTTGCCTAAGGGTCATATCGACATTCCTTACCAAATTTAAAATATTATTTATTTTTAGTTTTTAATTTTTTTTTGTCCGGCTTGGCAAATGTCCCCGAGCCACTTTGGTAGCCTAGTTATGAACTTAAATAAAATTTTCACACCCAAAATGTATTAAATATTATAACTAACATCTTTCATTTAGTAAAAATTCCAACAATAAGTGGATTCTGAAAATGCCCACTAAACCTGATTCAAAGTAAGACTCTCGACTCTAAATGAGCTTAAAAATATGACTTACTCTTATAATTTTATAAAACTTTTGGTAGCAGGTCCCAAAAAAAAATGGTCTTCCTAACTTAGCCAACGAGATTCGAGATAAAACTTTTGAGATTTAAGACTGATCTAAAAATTTGTCAAACTCCAAAATTTGCATAAAATGTTTTGCGGTACTTCAAGTAGGAAGATGAATTCAAAAAATTCTTAATAAATCATATTCGAAATAAAGTTTCTACTTTTCTTAATTGACTTAAAATATTGAGGAAAAAGTTATTCAGTTTATTTTTCTGCATAACATTGTTGTTTTTCGGATTTTTTTTGTTTTTTTTGTTTTTTGTTTTTTATTGGGACCTTCCTTGGTTCTTGCACGATCGGACCGCCCCTTTCCTTGGCGGCCCGATTGGTAGTCTAGATAATTCAGTAAAATTTTTGAAAATATTAACTTATTGACCAGGCTACCAGCTGGGCCGCCCGGGTCACCCTATTTTTCCGGATGGTCTGGCCGTGCAAAAACTATTAAGGTCCCAGCCAAAAAAAAAAAAAAAAAAAACCAAAAAATCCAAAAAAAAAAACTATGTTATGCAAAAAAATAAACTGAACAACTTTTGCCTTAGGGTTACATCGAAATTCTTTACCAAATTTAAAATAACAATTTAAATTTAAAAAGTGATTTTTATTTTTTTATTTTTTTATTTCTTTTTGGCCCGGCCGGGCAAGTGGACCTGGGGCACTCTCGTAGCCTAGCTTATTGATTTATAAATTTCTAAGTATGCCCATAACAAAATTAGAGTTACAACTTAATCCAAAATACTCAGAATGAACAATATAAAATTTATCATAAGAAATTATGATAAGAAAAATATTTGATTGAATATTTGTTATATTTAAAAACTATTGCAAAACTCACTAAATTCTAAAATGTTTATTCTTATTCAGTAAGTGTCATTCTAAAAAAAACTAACATTTATTTTACTACAATCAGGGTAACCAGCGTTCGGGACGGGCCGAACGCCCGAACCCGAACGCTGGAACGTATTGGACCCCTTAGGGATGCGTTCGGTCCTTCGGACTGAACGCGGACCCAAAAAAAAAAAAAAAAAAAAAAAAAAAAAAACCATCATAAAAAAAATCTGAAAAAAAAGATATGTTATGGAGAAAAATAAATTAAACACGATTTGTCTGAGCATTACATCCGAATTTTTTACCAAATTTGAAATAAAAATAAAATATGGAAAACAAATAGTAATAATAAAAATAAAAAAAATAAAAAAAGAATTAAATTTAGTGAATGTGCGAGCATGTTTTCGACACTGCCATCTTTGACGATTTTTCATTGTTTTTTGGCGTAGCTAAATGCTCTGAAAATTTTCAGCTGTGTACTTCACATAATACAAAACCCACAAAAAAAAATTCAAAAAATAATAAAATTGTTTAGACCCATAACTAAAGTGAAAACAAAAAGTAAAAAGTGAAAAAACACGTGGGCGAGCCTGTTTTGACACCGCCATCTTTGGCGATATTTAATTATTATTTGGCTTAGCCAAATGACTTGAAAATTTACATGCATGCACCTCACGTCATAGAGAACTCACAAACAAAAATACAGAAAAAAATAATTATTGTTAGGCCCCGAAATGTTTTTTGGTGGGGGCCGAATGCTGTCGGGTTCGAACCCCGTACGGGACCCCGAACGCCCGTACGTACGGAGGCCTGTCCGGGGACCTTCGTACGTACGGAGGCCTGCCCGGGGACCTCCGTACATACGGGCTAGTGACCCTGACTACAATAAATATCTTTTAATTAAGATTGGATTAAATTATTTATGATTGAAACTCCTTATAATACAATTAAAGTACAACAAAAATATTTCATGAACTCCCAAGACTTTCATTTCATCTTTAATATAATTTTTAAGCAATAAAGGATACCCCATTCTTAAAAATATAGTTTTCAACTAAAAGGGTAAATTTAAAACTATAATTATATTTTTAAAGATGAAATAAAAATTAAAAAATTTTGATGTATTTTATCATGAAATGATTATGTTTTTTTTTTTTTTTTTTTTTTAACCTATACTATATAGTAGCATTGTACATAAGACTCTAACACTTGGCGAGCATTTATGTGACTAAGCTATAAAAAAATACCCCTTATATGATATCCAATATTGAATAAAACATTCATATAAATATAAGTAACTTTTAACTTAGTTCCATATGTAATCCAAGTTAACAACTTCTTGACTTCCTTCATTTTAGCCTTATGAATCAAACACACAGTCAAACCATCTACATAAAGGATAAGCCCGACCCTTGAAAAAATAAAGAGAAAGTGATCGGACAATCTATACAAAAGACATACTTCACCTATTCAAGAAACTAACTTTAATAAAAATGTAGTAAGAATATATATGGAAAAAAGTCCCAACCTACAAAAAATAAATCAATAAACACGTAGTTAGACCATCTGCATAAAAGGCAACCCCTTGGAATCTTTTCGGCTCGAAAACATTCAGTGTGTCCTCCAAACGTTCACCATCCGGTGAGACAATCATGTCGTCGTACTCTTTGTTGAGAGCATCAACAACTTTTTCGTTGCAACAAAGAGTGGACATAAGACCGACATCAAGGTTATGCCTAGACTGCTTATAGCAACCGCTTATTACTCACCGTAAGAGGGCGCAAAGGAACATCTGTTATGCCGACAAAAAACATTTTTCACCTTGTCACTTGTCTCAGTATGTGGGAAACACGCCGTTGAAGTAACTCGTTGGACACATGATGTGACTGTCTGCAGAAATGTTGATGCACCCATTCATGATTGGGACCCTGCCGCTGGAGATGCAGCCATACCGTAACACTTCGTTCAAACATATACACCTTTCGCGCACACTAGTCCTTTTTGGGAAACATCATAAGGACAGTAGAGATGAGAGACGTGTTGTGGACTACCCGACTCATGAAAATAGTTAATGTTGGTGATATGTTTGCCGTCAAACAAGGGAGTGCAGCTATGGCGTCGATGACAATCATCGCAACGACGTTTCGTTACTTCATGATCCACTAGATGATTATCAGGACTAGCCATAATAGGATGTTCTCGACATCAATGACCACCTATTTTTTTCTTTGGCTATCGTGCACACTTCCACCAGCGCCAGGCTCGATTGTCAAACACAAAGCTACGGTCGTGAAACAAACACGCCTGCACAACCGGAGAAGCAGGCACAAAGAGAGAGAGAGAGAGAGAGAGAGAGAGAGAGAGAGAGAGAGAGAGAGAGAGAGAGAGAGAGAGAGAGAGAGAGAGAGAGAGAGA